ACTTCAATTGCAAAGCAAAACTCTACGTTTTGTTGTTGTTAATCCTCACCTGAGGATATTATTTCCCATTGATTTTTAGAGAGAGTAGAAGGGAGGGGGAGAGACAGGGAGAGAAACATGCATTTGAGAGAGACACTTTGATTGGTTGCCTACCTCATGCTCCCCAACTGGCACCAGGGATAGAGCCTGCAACTGAGGTGCATGCCCTTGACCGGGAATCCGACCCGCACTCCTTCAGGCTCATCCTTTATCCACTGAGCCAAACTGGGTACGGACAAAACCTACTCTTACATCCCCCTTCCCCATATTTTTGATGTCCATTTCACATCTTTTATATTTCGTAACCATTAGCAAATGAGAGTATTTTGAATTTAACTGTATACTTTATCAGTTTATTTGATATTTTTATGTTACTAGTTAGTATACTTTCATTTTAGCTTGAACTACTTGCTGTAGCATTTCTCATAGGCTAGGGGAAGTGTTGATGAACTCCCTTGGCTTTTGTTTGCCTGGCAAAGTGTCTCACCTTCATTTCTCAAGGGCACCTTTGCGAGCAAAGTATCTGAGCTTGCAGTTTTGTCCTGTCAGCATTTAGGACGTACTGTCCCACTCTCTCTGGGAGTGCAGTGTTTCAGCTAAGAAAACCACTCCTGCCTTTATCACCCTGGTATTAATGAGATGAGTTTCTTTTTCCTTGCAGCTTTCAGAATTCTCTTTGTCATTTCTTTTTGAGTTTTATTCTAATGTTTCTTGGTGCAGCCTTTTTTGAATTGAATCTGTTTTTGGATTTATGAGCCTCATGCACTTAGGTGACCGCTTCTATCTCCAGATCTTCTGAGTCTGTTTCCATTATTTAAAATTTTTGTTTTTGTTGATCCACATTTGAGGATATTTTCCCACTGAATTTTAGAGAGAGTGGAAAGGGGAGGGGGAGAGACAGAAACATCAATGTGAGAGAGACACATCGATTGGTTGTCTTATGTACATGCCCCATCCAAGTACATGCCCTTGACTTTAATTGAACCCAGGACTCTTCATTCTGCAGGCCAATCCTTTATCCACTAAGCCAAATCAGCTAGGGCCATTATTTTAAATAAGCTTTCTATCCCTTTTTTCTGTCTTCTCTTTCTAGAACTCCCATAACGTGAATATCGTTATTTCATGACAACCCATAATTCATGTACGATTTCTTTATTCTCTTTTTCTAAATTTGTTTTGACTGCGTAATATCAAAGGACCAACATTCATCTTCAGAATCATTGTTTTGATTGATCAAGTGAGCTATTGATGCTCTCTATAGCATTTTTTCATTTCATTTATTTTTCAGCACAATAATTTTCATTTTCTCCTCTTGTATATTTTCTATTTCTTTGCTGAAAAATCTTATTTTGTTTGTATATCGTTTTCTGGTCTTTTTTTAATTTGCATTTTTATTTTTTAAATTGATTTTACAGAAGGAGAGGGGGGGTGAGAAAGAGAGAGAAACATTGATGTGAGAGAGACATTGATTTGTTGCCTCTTGTACGCACCCTGTCTGGGGATCTAACCTACAACATAGGTATGTGCCCTGACTGATAATCAAACCTGTTACCTTCCTGTGATTAGGACTGCACTCCAACTAACTGAGCTATCTCAGCCAGGCCAATTGTGTGTCCTTTATTTTATTTTATATATTTTTAGCTTCCTGGGCTTGCTTAAATTATTTATTTTGAAATCCTTTTCTGACCATACACAGATGTGCATTTCTTTGGAGTGATTGTTAAATTAGTGTGTTCCTTTGGTTGGTGGGGTGTCATGTTTCCTTGATTTTTGAAAAAATGTTTTGTTTGCATGTTTGTTTTTTGTAGACTTGTGTTGATGTCTGTACATTTCATAGGGTGAATTACTTTGACTTTCTGGAAAGGTTTTGGTGGGAAGAGCTTCACCTGTGTTGTGGTGTCACTGTGCGGACTTGGTTGGTGTTGTAGTTCTGACTATAAGAGGGCCAAACCGAGTAATGTCTGCAGCTGTGTAACCTGAAGTCAGTGTTAGTGAAATTGCAGGTTCCTCAGTAGCTAAGGCTTTGTGTGCTCACACCTGTGGAGAGGATGGCTGTAGACAACCTGATTTTGTTCTCTCAAGGGAAATGTTTTTGGCTCAGTTGTTCCCTTTAGGTCAGGGGTCCTCAAACTTTTTAAACAGGGGACAAGTTCACTGTCCCTCAGACCGTTGGAGGGCCGGACTATAGTTTAAAAAAAACTATGAACAAATTCCTATGCGCACTGCACATACCTTATTTTGAAGTAAAAAAACAAAACGGGAACAAATACAATATTTGTATTTGCATGTGGCCCATGAGCCGTAGTTTGAGGACCCCTGCTTTAGGTGCTGAGTGCAGGGTGTCCTCGTGGTGATGGGGGAATACGTGTCTGATTGTAACAGCCCCCAGTGGCATTGACTTTGCTCTGTGAGATGCAGTCCCACACTGATCAGTGATCGAGCCTGTGAGCAGAGCACAGGGACACACACAAGGAGCTAGTCTGAGGGCTCAGCTATTCCATATTGCCCACGGCTTTGGTGCCTGAGAACCGGGCATTCCTGTGACAGCAATGGGGTCAGGTTATCTAATATTGGCATTTCAGGAACAGTTGTGGCTCTGGGGTCTGGCGTGTATGGGGTGGGGCCTCTAGAGAAGGCAGCTGGGATCCATGCCTGTGGTCACTCGGCCAAGTCTGCTGTGCAAACTGTGGGTGTCCTCAGATGTAGCGCGAGCTGTTGAGGGTCCTTCTGGAAAAGGTTTCTCGTCCTCCGCAGAGCTGGACGGTGGCAATGGAATGGCATTTGCCCTTTGGCTGATACACATGGCTCCCCCTTTCTTATTTCTTTTTCTTTTCCAGGTGTCTTCACTATGCTGGTGTTTATTCTTTGTGTGTGTATTCTCCTTTTTATGCTCCATGGGCTGCTGTTGTGTCTTAATTGTGTTCTGGAGAACTCTAAGGGCAAATTTTGTTCATAAAGAGCTGCCTTAATTTTTTGTTGATGGTGACAAAAGCTGGTTTCCTCTACGACATTGCTGACGTTACTCACCAGATGTGTTTCTGGGTGTGTTGTGTGCTGAGTTACTCTGGAACAGACCTCTCCATTCACATGTTCTGTTTTTTCCTTGTATCATCCATGTTGTATGTAGTTGCCCTGCTAGGACTTTTGGGGAAGAGTCCTTTCTGCGTGTATCACAGGATGCATCTCTGTCCAGCCATGGCCAAGTGGGGTCACAGAGGGTGTGGTCCTAGTGACTGGTTGTTGTGAAAATTGTGTTGTCAGTACATTATTCAGATCATACCATGAACCTGTCTTTGCTCAACCAGAGGGTTTGTGTCGTTGCCAATAGCCAGACCCATTTCCCCTCTTCCTCTTGCAGCTTTGGCACTTTCCCGTGTCTGCTGTGGTTTCTAGCCCAGGAATATTGCCCCCTCCCTGGACTCCCATCTCGCCTGCTCTCTCACCGCTCTTTCCTCAGTGCTCTTCAACACTGCCCCTCACGTATGTGCTGTGAGATGTTGAAAGTTTCTGTATTAACCTTGGACAGCAGCTAATGTTTGCATAGTAATGTTCTTACATGCATGTTTCTCCCCAGATCTGCTTCAGCAGCAGAGAAGGATATGCAGGACTCCACTGCAATAGGAAATGCATTGTATACTGTGCCTCTCTTTGTTGTGTCAGACCCATATCCTTCCCCTGGTGTGTTTTCACCATTTTCTGACCTTAGAAGCCTAGGAGCACAAAGTAGTCAGCCAGTCCTTCAACTGAATTTTCTTTCTTTGCAAAGCATTTCATATATAGATGTGTTTCTCCCTCCCCTTTAGTCAACATGTAATTCAAAAGCATTTCTTTGTGCTCAGGTTGCTGCTGTGGAGCCGACGATGTGGAAGCACCCGGCGAACAGAGGGTTTCTGTGGGAATGTCACAGGGGAAGAATCCCAAGGCAGCCTCGTCTTCCCAGAAGAGACACCCCTGTGAGAGTTGCGGGCCGGTCTTGAGGGACATTTTCCACTTGGTTGAGCATCAGGGGACACAGCACAGCCAGAAACTGCTGAGGTGTGGGGCATGCGCCAAACGATTTTATTTCGGTGTAAACTGTCACCAGCTTGCGGGGCAGCACATGGGAGAGGAGCCCTTCAGAAGTCGTGCGGACAAGGCCTCATTCGTGAAGAGCAACAGCACCCACCTGTCAGGGAAGACCTTGGCCTCTGAGCAGAATGAGAGGGACTTCCTGCCCAGCTTGGGACATCGGCAGCCGCAGCTCACTCATAAAGTGAAGGAGCCGAAGGAGGGCCCCCAGTGGGAAGCACCTTCTCAGAGCAGAACAAGCCTTCACCACCCAGGGAAATGCAAAAAGGCCTTTAACCCCAAACGCCTGCTTGTTCAGGACCAAGATGTCTATATTGCAAGAAAATGTTTTGTGTGCAGTGAATGTGGAAAAATATTCAGGTACAAATCCTCATTTGTTACTCACTGCAGAGTCCACACTGAAAAAAGTATTTATGTGTGTGACAAAGGTGGGAAAACCTTTAGGGGACGCTCAACCCTCAGTCAGCATCGAAAAATTGATACAGGTCCAAGGCAGTACACGTGCAGCAAATGTGGAAAATCCTTAAGCCACAAACCTGTCCTCATTAATACCCAGGAACAACACAGTGGCGAAAACAGTTATGTGTGCGGTGAATGTTTGCAACCGTTTAGTCATAGTGCAGTGTCCATTGAATATCAGAAAGTTCAAACGCAAGAAAAACCTTACAAGTGTAAGGACTGTGCAAAATCGTTTACCTCTCTTGCTGCCCTCAGTTACCATCAGAGCTCTCACACAGGAGAAAGGCCTTATGGGTGCAGTGATTGTGGGAAATCTTTTATCTCTAGGTCTGACCTCCGTTATCATCAGAGAGTTCACACTGGAGAAAGGCCTCATGAGTGCAGTGAATGTGGGAAATCTTTTATCACCCGTACAGCTCTTCGTTATCATCAGAGAGTTCACACTGGAGAAAGGCCTTATGAATGTAGTGAATGTGGGAAGTCCTTTACCCGAAGAAATAACCTCCTTATACACCTTAGAGTTCATTCAGGGTACAGGCCTTATGAGTGTGGTGAATGTGGGAAATCTTTTACCTTTAGTTCTAGCCTCCGTTATCATCATAGAGTTCACACTGGAGAAAGGCCTTATGACTGCAGTGAGTGTGGGAAATCCTTTAACAATAGGTGGACACTTGTTAGACACCAGAGGATTCACACAGGAGAAAAGCCTTACGTATGCAGCAATTGTGGCAAATCTTTTACTTGTAGTTCCACACTTCAGTATCATGAGCGAGGCCACCTTGGGAAAAGGCCTTATGAGTGCACTGAATGTGGGAGATCTTTTACTACTAGCTCTGCCCTCCGTTATCACCAGAGTGTTCACACAGGAGAAAGGCCTTATGAGTGCAGTGAATGTGGGAAATCTTTTATCTCCAGATCTGACTTCCAGTATCATCAGAAAACTCACTCAGGAGAAAGGCCTTATGAGTGTAATGAATGTGGAAAATCCTTTATTCGAAGAAATAACCTCATTTTACACCAGAGAGTACACACGGGAGAAAGACCTTATGAGTGTAGTGAATGTGGGAAATCTTTTAACAATAAGTCGACACTCATTCAACACCGGAGAGTTCACACAGGAGAAAAACCTTATGTGTGCACTGAATGTGGAAAATCCTTTACTTCTAGCTCCACCCTCGCCTATCATCTGAGAACTCATGCGGGGAAAAGGCCTTATGAATGTAGTGAATGTGGGAAATCATTTACATCTAGTTCCACCCTTAATTACCATCAGAGAGTTCACACAGGAGAAAGGCCTTATAAATGCAGTCAATGTGGAAAATCTTTTACTTTTAGTTCGAGCCTCCGTTATCATCACAGAGTTCACACTGGAGAGAGGCCATATGAGTGCAGTGAATGTGGGAAAACTTTTAAGGATAGATCACAATTCACTAAACACCAGAGAGGTCACACTGGAGAGAGACCTTATGAGTGTAATGAATGTGGGAAATCTTTTAGCCACAAATCTTCCCTCTCAATACACCAGAAAATTCATAATAGAGAACGGTCTTACAAGTGTGGCGAGTGTGGTAAGTCTTTTACCTCTACCTCTGGTCTTGGTTATCATCGGAGACTTCACAGGGGAGAAAGGCCCTATCAGTGCGTTGAATGTGGGAAGTCTTTTACCAGCAGCTCAATACTTGTTCGACACCAGAGAGTTCACACAGGAGAAAGACCTTATGAGTGTAGTGAATGTGGGAAATGTTTTGCCAGTAGTGACACACTTTCTTATCACGAGAGAGTTCACACAGGAAAAAAGCCTTACAAATGCAATCAGTGTGGAAAATCTTTTGCCTCTGGTTCCACCCTCCGTTATCATCAGAGAGTTCACACAGGAGATAGGCCTTATGAGTGCAGTGAATGTGGGAAATCTTTTATCTGTAGTTCCAAACTTCGTTATCACCATCGAGTTCACACTGGTGAAAGGCCTTATGAATGCAGTGAATGTGGAAAACTGTTTAGGGATAGTTCCCAATTCAATCAACACCGGAGAGGTCACACTGGAGAAAGACCTTATGAGTGCAATGAATGTGGGAAACTTTTTATACGAAAATCTACGCTCTCTCAACATCAGAGAGTTCACATGAGGGAAAGGCCTTAGAAGTGCTAGAGACGTGCAATTTTCTGTTCAGTGTAAAAGCCCTGGAGGAAATTCTTTCAGAACTCATTTGTCTGAATTGAGACTCATACGTCTGAATATGTACAGTGGGTAGATTCCCCGTAAGTTTCATTTACGAGAAGCCTGTGTAAATACGCTATACTCTCTGATTGGCCGGGGCTCTTCCTAGGTTTATGTGGCTAAAGTTCTTTAACCTTTCCCACTGGCATGTCCTTAGAATTTTTGCAACAGTCATGGCCTAATGTGTTCTGGGAAGCTGAACTCTGGTTTCACATATTGTAGAAATCTAGGAATAACCAAACCCTCAGGGGTCAGCTTTCCCTTTATGACTAATGTGGACATGGATTTCAGTGAATATCCTGACTTCTGCTTCAAGCTTACAGAGAAATGACTACCGGTTCCAGGGATGTGTTGGTCTCACATGATACTTGTGATGGAATTTACCGGCTTCCAGTTCATGGATTTGGAAGTGCCTATTGCTCATTGCTTTGCCTTGTGAAACAGTCGAGGCCTTGTATTTTCTTTGTTGTTATTCCTCACCTGAGGGTATTTTTTCCGTTGGATTTTAGAGAAAGTGGAAGGGAAGGTGAGAGACGGAAACATCAGTGTGAGAGAGACAGATTGGATGGGTTGACTCCCACACATATTCCAATCAGGTGCCAAGGACTAAACTTACAACCCAGGTACATGCCATTGACTAGGATCAACCTGAGATAATTCAGTATGTCGGCCAATGCTCTAACCATTGAGTCATACCTGCAAGGGCGAAAAGACATCTTTAATATGGGAAACCAAAATCAGGGTATTATGCTCTCCTCTCTTTTTATGTCTAAAATGTACTTTGGGTAAACATAAAGTTAGGAAAACTTAGAGATGATTTCTATTTAATAAGTGCTAACATCCTGATAAAGTTTTATAGAATGCAGACATGTCTCAACAGCTCATAAAATAATTGATTTAGCCCAAAATCATCAACCAATTACTTCAACCAAATATATTCAATGACAGCCGGCAGAGTAGACAAAATTTCAATGGGTAAAAATGATATTGGATGAAAAACCTTTTAACAGTTAAACTCACTATGCAACGTTCACAACACAAAAATGACACTGATACTTCATAGCATCTGTGCCTAAAGCAATCAAAAGTCTAAGCTCTGCCTGTGCAGCAGTGTGGCTAGAATCAAGGAGGATTTGATCTAATGCCATTGGCTCCAACTATGTATTTATTGCAAACAAAGGAGAACAAGTTAAGGACATCAAAGGTGTGCCATACACGAGTTCCGGGAAGACAAGTGTTTGGTTCCGGAACAACTGTAGTAAAGCCAGTCACACAAGTTTAATGGTTCTTTAACCATTAAAAATTACATTTACACTCTACATCACTGTAGTCTATGCACATAAAAATTACATTTACACTCTACATCACTGTAGTCTATGAAATGTGCAATACCATTATGTTTTCAAGCAATAATGTACATAATTTAAACATTTGCCCAAGCCAGTGTGCTACAGTGGTTTGAGCATTGACCTATGCACCAGAAAGGTAGCAGGTTTGATTCCAGGTCAAGGGCAGGTACCTGGGTTGCAGGTTCCATCCCCAGTCGCCAATGAGGCGTTTAGGGGAAGCAATCCCTGTGTCTCATGCTGATGGTCCTCTCTTTTTTCCCTCCTCCCGACCCTCCACTCTAAAAACCAATGGAAAATATATCATCTGGTGAGGTTTTTTTTTTTATTATTATGAGAAATACTAAAGCAATGTATGACAGGAGTAGAAAAATGTCAAAACATTTCCCAGAAATTTCAAAAACGTTACTCCATTGTGGGTCCATTCACAGCCCTGGTCACTTGCACCTGGCAATGATACAACTCTTACACTTCAACAAAAGGAAGACAATCCAATTCAAAAAAATGGGCAAGGAACCTAAATAGACATTTATCCCAAGATGATGAACAGATGACCAATATCCTATATAATAAAAAGCTAATATGCAAATAGGCTGAATGTCAGAACAACGGGTCACTATAACGTGGGCTGACTACCAGGAGGCGCATTGGCTGCGGCAGGATGGTGGAACAGGTGAGCAGTTGTGCCAGACCAAGATGGGGCGCTGGTCACAGTCATCAGGGCGAGCGTCTGGTGGTTACTGAAAATTCTTTGCTCCTGCCCGCCACGGCCCCCTTGCAGCCACTGCTGGCCCCAATGGCCTCTGAGGGCTTCTCCATCTTCCCCTGCTCCTGAAGGGCGATCGGGCCCATCAGCTGCTGCTCACACCCGCAGCTGGCAGTGGCCCCACTTATACCTGCTGCTAGTGCCACCTGCAGGTGTGAGCGAGGCCAGTGCCATCAGTGGGTGTGAGAGGTGGCGGCGGGAGTGGGGCTGCAGTGGGAAGGGCTGGGCAGGGGCACGGAGAATGGGCTGAGACCTGGTCCTGTGCCCACTGCAGCCTCATGGCCCACAGTTCCTTTTAAGGTGCACAGATTTGTGCACTGGGGCCCTAGTATGTACATGAAAAAGTGGTCCAGGTCAATATAATGAAGTATTACCTCACAACTACTAGACTGGCTGCTTTGAATAAATCCGCAGAACAAGTGCTGGTGAGGAGGCAGACAAGAGGGTACTTGGTGCTCTGCTGGTGGGAATGCACATGGTGCCGTCATGTGGAAAGAGGATGGAGTTTCTTCAAAAAACTAAAAATGAAACTGCTGTTTCACCCACCATCCCTATTTCTGGGAATGCTTCCTAAGAGTCCTGAAACATAGGAAAGAATATGTGCACCTCTGTGTTCATAGCAGCATTTACAATAGTTAAGATCTGGAAGCAGCCCAAGTGTCCACCAGTGGATGAGTGGGTAAAAAAGCTGTGATGTGTTTACACAATGGGACACTATGGGACTGTAAAAAAGAAAGATCTCTTACCAACATAGATAGACCTGGAGATTGATGCTAAGTGAAATAAGCAGTTAAAGACAAATGTCACATGATGTTGCTTATATGTGGGATCTGATGAACAAAATAAACTGAGGAAATATGTTCTGATGCATGGAACAGTTCGACAGATCTGAGAATAAGGGTGGGGGTAGAGGTGGGGCAGGGTGGAGGGTCTACAGGGGTGTATGGGAGACGTTTGTTCTGTCAACAATAACAAATAAATTTAAAATATAAAATAGTCTCCAGCACACTGCTTCTGGCACGGTGATTATAGGCCTGGTCTGACACTGCAGGGAAGCTCCTGGGACAAGAACATTTTTTAGTTTGTTTTTTTTTTTTGGCTGGGGAACATCTTCCAGTTGTAGTAAAATCTCTTGCCCCGGCTGGTTTTGTTCAGTGGATAGAGCATCGGCCTGAGGACTGAAGGATTCCAGGTTCGATTCAGGTAAAGGGTACATGCCCAGGTTGTGGGCTCCACCCCAGTGGGGGGGGGGCGGTGTGTAGGAGGCAGCCGATCGATGGTTCTCTCAAATCATTGATGTTTCTCCCTCTCCCTCTCCCTCTCTGAAATCAATAAAAATGTTTCTTTTTTAAAAATCTCTCATTTCCCTTAAATGTGAGCTCTTAAATTCCTCAGGATTCCATACTTGTTCTTCCTGGGTGCTGCTGTTTTTATATTTTCACACCTGTGTCCTGTAACTTAAAATAATTCTTTTTAATCTACTGGCTACTCCTTCCACAAAGGCTTTGCACAGCCTGCCTGAGAACACCCTTCCATATTCACTGATGTATAACAAAATGAAGTGAGAATCTGAAGCAGATATAATTAGCAAAGCCCCCCTCCTGCCACCCTCACTCAAGCCTGATCCCTCTCCAGAGAGAACTACTGATATCAGCCTCATATTGTCAAGTGAATTACTTTGTCAATAAACAGTAAGCTGTGAAGCGAGCCTCACACCTGTGTCTGTGTGACTGGGACCACGACGTCTCTGTTGTGTCTCCTCAAAACCCACAGTCAGCCCAGCCAGTTTGGCTCAGTGGATAGAGCGTTGGCCTGTGGACTGAAGGGTCCTAGGTTAGATTCTGTCAAGGGTAGATGCCCGGGTTGCAGGCTCAATCCCCAGTGGGGGGCGTGCAGGAGGCGGCTGATCAATGATTCTCATCATTGATGTTTCTCTCTCTCCCTCTCCCTTCCTCTCTGAAATCAATAAAAATATATTTTAAAAAGCAAACACCTGGCCCTAGCCGGTGTGGCTCAGTGGATAGAGCATCGGCCTGTAGACTGAAAGGTCCCAGGTTCGATTCCAGTCAAGGGCATGTACCTTGGTTGCAGACACATCCCCAGTAGGGGGTGTGCAGGAGGCAGCTGATCGATGTTTCTAACTCTCCCTCTCCCTTCCTCTCTGTAAAAAAATAATAATAAAATATTTTTTTTAACTTAAAAAGCAAACATCTGCACAGCAACCCAAAGGCAGCCATCAGCAAGAATGGCCACAAGTAGGACAAAGCCAGAAGTCCCGCCCTAACTCGGGGAAATGCTTTCATCCTGATCTCTCATTGGCTCAACTCTGTGCACTGTCTTCTGGGTAATGTAGTTCCCAGCGCTCTAGAGGCCATAGAGCTCTCCATTGTGAGTTACTAGGATATTTGCACCTGGATGGATTCTGTAAAGTGATGCTGTTCTCTGGAGCAAAGGGCTTCCTCTTGGTTAACTACAGAAAAAAACTCAATTCTGACCCCATCAACCTGGAGATTGGTTACGGGTTCAGCACCACAAGGCGGTGCACGCCCCGCCCCTAAGATGTCAATTGCAAGTCCAGTTGTTATTCGTGCTTCAGAACAATTCTGAATATACCCTTCAATTTTGCTCATGGGTTGCTTTCCATTTCTAAATCACTTAAAGGCAAAGAGATATTCAGATTTACTCCACTGAATTTTTTCCTTATTTTTAAAATATTTTTTGTTGATTTTAGAGGGGGAGGGATAGAAGCATCAATGATTTAATTGATTTAAGAGAGAGAGGAAGCGGGGGATGGGGGGAGATAGAAACATCCCTGAGACAGAAACACGCTTCCTTGCCACTTACTGGGGATCCAGCTGAGCCCGGGGTAGGCACCCTGACCAGAATGGAACTGGGGTTCCTTGATGCATGGAACTGCGCTCAGCCAACTGAGCCGCACGGTCAGGGCACAACAGGTTCATTTAAAAATATATATGATTTTATTCACTTCAGAAAGAGGAAGGGAGAGGGGCAGAAGCATCAGTGACGACAGGATCATGGATCGGCTGCCTCCTGCAAGGCCCCTCCTGGGCATGGAGCCCGCAACCCGACCATGTGCCCTGACCAGGGATTGAACCTTGACCTCCTAACTCAAGGGTCCAAGCTCAGCTCGACCACTGAGTCACACCAGCTGGGCACAACAGGCTACTTTTTGAGCAGAAAACCACAGGCACCAAATGGCTGTCCTCTTTCTTTTGGTTTTTCCGAGTCTAATTCGCTTTTTCATGAGAACAATGTGTGTAAATGACAGAAGGCCGCTGCCGTGCAGAGATGGTGGCCGAGACCACCCATTCTGACCAAGAGAGGGACGGAGGGACGCAGGGCTTTGAGCTGGCGACCCAGGCTTCGGCCATGGACCCGGGGGCGCCTCTTGAACAGTTAAGCGGATTGAGAGCAGAGGCAGTAAGTCTGGATTAGTCCTTGGTTACGTAAAACATCTGAATGAATTCATTGCCGGTATCAAAAGCACATGTTGTAGCCGGAACTGGTTTGGCTCAGTGGATAGAGCGTCAGCCTGCGGACTGAAAGGTCCCAGGTTCGATTCCGGTCAAGGGCATGTACCTTTGTTGCAGGTACATTCCCGAAAGGTCCCAGGGCAGGAGGCAGGTGATCGATGTTTCTCTCTCATCGATGTTTCTAACTCTCTATCCCTCTCCCTTCCTCTCTGAAAATCAATAAAATATATTTTTTAAAAAAAAGCACACGCTGTAAACCAATACAGCATTGACACCGGCCTCTCTCTCCCACTGCCGTGGCCACCACGTGCTAACAGAAGGTCCAGTTCCTGAACCAAGCTCGCCCAAGCTCGCCCCAGGGCGCACTCTGCCCTCTCGCCTGCCCATCGTCCCTCTGGCCTGAATCTCTTCCCAGCAGTTCTTGGGGGCGGGGGGCAGCCCTTGGAGACCAGGATGAGAGCGCTAGGGGTTGGATCTGCCAGAGCGCTCAGCAGGGTGGGAGCGGCGGGAGGGCGCTGGGGGGCTGCTGACTCAGTTTACACTTTGGTTCCTAATGCATTAAGGAGCGGGGAGGGAGGCAGTAGCATGGGGGGACTGAGCCCACAATGGGCCATGTGCCTTTTCCTGGAATAGAACCATGGCCAACTGGTTCATGGATTGTCACTCAAATACTGAGCAACCCATGCCGGGCAAGTTCTGTTTTTTGTTGTTGTTGTTTGTTTTTAACACTATAAATCAATTATGGCCAGGTAAGTCACATAGAGTGTCAACCTGATAAACCAATATTGGGGTTTAGATCTCTGGTCAGGGCACACACAAGCATCAAACAATGAAAATATAAAGAAATGGAACCACAAATTGATGTTTCTCTCTTTCACTCTCTCACATTCTCTCTAAAGTAAATAAATAAAAATTTAGCTTTGGCCGAGGACCTCAGTTGGTTAGAGTCAAGGTGGTGGGTTTGATCTCCGGTCAGGGTACACACAAGAACCTCCCAATGATTGCATCAGTAAGTGGAGGAAGCCCTGGCTGAGTGGCTCAGGTGGTTGGAGTATCGTCCTGTACACCAAATGTTTGTGGGTTCAATTCCCAGTCAGGGGACATTACCTGACTTGCAGGTTTGATCCCCAGTCGGGGCACACAGGGAAGTCAACAAAACAATATTTACTCCCTTCCCTTCCTGTCTCCAAATATCAATAAACATATCCTGGGGTGAGGATTAAAACAACAAAGTTTAACAGCAACAACAAAAACATCAATGTTTCTCTCTCACCCTCTCTAAAATTAATAAGTAAAAATATAGAAATAAGAATTTTCAAAATCCTATAAATCCTATGAAGCTCTCCTCAGGTTAAATTAACTTGCTATAGCCCTTGGTGGCAAACCGACACCAGGTGGCGACTTGACCTCAGTTCAGCAGCAAAAAGGGGGGATTATGGAGAAATCGCCTGTAAGCAGACTACACCAAGCTTTAATTACTTTAAATTTTTTCACTTGTGATGCTGATGGCAAGACACCCATGGAAGTACATTGGTGTCAGAATAAGTCGAAAACGGTCTGGTTAAATGGAAAGATCCTGAGTCTGGGTTATGGAAGGGCCCCGATTCCCTCTTAACATTCGGCCGAGGGTACGCTTGTGTACTTCCAGAAAATTTCTCCAAGCCCGTGTGGCTTCCCGCAAGAAATATTAGACTTCAACATGGATCCGAGGGAGGAACTGGCCAGGTTAATGAGAACCCTGCACCTGGAGCCTCGCTTTACAGCTGCAGACAATCAACTAACCCAGCCGCAGACAGCAGCAGCTTCAAACAATCCATTGAAGATAAGGAATGGGAGGAGGACGAGGAGGACAGCAAATAGCCCTGAGGTCACCTGGGGCATGGTGAAGAAGATGGTCCAGAAAGCTGAGCAAACTTGTGAGGAAACCAGAACCCCAAGAACGCCTGAGAACGTCTTTCTCGCCATGCTGGCAGTAATCAGCTGTGCGGTAATATTACCGGGGGCAAATGGGAAAGTATTTTGGACTTATGTTTCGGACCCACCATGGGTAAGACCCCTTACGTGGGCTGATCCCCCGCCTAATGTAGTCACCAATAACACCAAATACCTTGGTCACCCAGGAGGACCACAGGTGGGGCAAGGAAGTATATGGGCAAAGTATAATTACACGGGTGTCGCCACCCAGCTTCCCTTTTGTATGACACAGAATCAAACCACTGCTCCTTGGTGTGTAAAATTAAAGACAGGCTTCTGGCTAGTATGGACACAAAAGGAAGGGGAAGAAAGTGCCCAAATACTATCACTCCTTGCTCTGGGGAGAGGTGCAGAAAATGTAACTGTACTAAGTCACCCCCCCCCCCCACTAAGCCATTATGTAAAAAGTCTTATGAATGGCACCTCACTGAGGAAGAAATTAATTGGCAAGACTGCTATAGTGACCACCCACCAGCAGCAAACTTAATAAGTTATTCCTTTGTGGACTGGAGCCCCTACGGGTCTGCATATAGTAACAATCGCACCCTAAAATGGGAGGGGAACACATCTACATGTTAAAGCTAATCACCCCGTTTTATGGCGCGGAGGAGGATTTGTTGGATCACAATTACAACACGACAATTGGCCCCTACAAAATACGCAATGGAAATTAGCTGCTGCACTTGCACCTATCAAATGGTATAGCTTTAATTATGGCACAGATAATTCCATTCATACCTTACGGGGAACTCCCAATAAGACAGTATTTGCCACCATTTGTGTATTTGATCCTTTTGTACTCCTCTCGGGCCCCATCCAGATGCACCTTAATGTTACAAGCCATCTGTATGAGGTGTCATGCACAGGCTGCACACTATCCCATTGCATTAATTCTACATTCCAAACGGACTCCCTTATGGTTTTCAAACAACCAGCTTTCGCTTGGGTTCCTACTAACCTAACCGAGCCTTGGGAATCTCATCAAACCTACCAACTGTTACATGATCTGGTAAGAATCTTAAAAAGACAAAAAAGATTTCTTGGAATGTTAATTGCAGGAATCCTTGTCCTCGTAATGTTACTTACTTCTGTGGGCATCGCTGCTTCATCCATGGTACAAACTGTTCAAACTTCTCAGTTTGTGCAACAAGTTAAGGAAAATGTAACTAAGACCTTGTCTATACAAAAGGAAATTGACAGCCAGTTTGAGATTGAATTGTCAGCACTGAAGTCTACAGTCCTGTGGATGGGTGATAAAATCCACGGCCTAGAGCAAAGAATATCCTTGCAGTGTCATTATAATTTTTCTCAGATTTGTGTTACCCCTGTTCCTTATAATAGTACCTTGCACCCTTGGGAATCAGTAAAAAATTACCTACTTGGCGCTTGGGGTAAAGATAACACAACCCTTGATATTTTAGAATTACAACAGCATATTGTACAATTATCACAGGCAAACTTACAAACCAATTCCTTAGATGCCTGGCAACAATTTAAAAAGGACATGAAAGAATTCAACCCCTTCCGTTGGATCTCATTACATTTGCCTCTCAGCATAACCACTGTTGCTTGTCTCATTTTTGTTCTCATATGCTTATTTCGAGTCTGCAGATGCGGAATGAAGAGTCTTAAAAGGACTCGAACCCTTCAGGCAGCAGTCACCTTTCAAGAATTATTAAGGAAAAGAAACGGGGGAGATCCGGGAGATGCAGGACGCCACCCATTGTCTTCACTAGCAGAGAAGTGCAAACAAGGATCCCGGAACACTGGTGACCCTTGAACCCACAGCAGGGCCTGAGTTATGCACCGATTGTCTAGTCCTGACAATGGGGGCTCAAGCTATTTCCTGATCAAATAGCCTCAGAGTAAATCCTTCTAATATTTACTGACCTTTAAGATAGCCTGTCTGCTACTGCAATTACCTGCCTAAGGGCTTTATGTTTAACCAAAGCTGAATAAAAGGCTGGCGAGGCCTGGGCACCAGTGGAGGTCCTTCCTCTTGAGTTGGACTTTCCCGCCTGGCCCCCCCAATATTTCCAAATGACCTCTTGTCTCTTCTCTTTCATTTGTGTGCAGCTCCTCTTCCAGATCCTGAACCCTAAACCACGCGGGACGTGGGGGAACACACATACAACAACTAACTTTATGGAAAATCTCCCACTGTTGAGTATGGGATTTATGAGCTGAAAGTCCGATATCTGAAGCCTGAATTTCTTTCAGTGTTGTTAACACTGAACAAGGAAACTACAGTTCCTCCACAAAAAATTTCCTCTAATGTGTACGCTCATTCGTCCTGAGGCTAGAATTTTTGTTAAATGTACCCACCTTCACAGTACTCAAAAAGCCTTTCTTTTGTGTGAACTCTGATGAGTATGAACATGACAATTCCTGATAAAAGATTTCCCACAATCAGTGCACTCATAAGGCCTTTTTCCACTGTGAGCTCTCCGATGATAATGGAGTCCAGAGCTATGGGTAAAAGATTTCCCACAATCATTGCACTTATACGGTTTTTCTCCAGTGTGAACTCTCTGATGTTTATAAAGGTCACTGTTCCTGATAAAAGATTTCCCACAGTCACTGCACTCAAAAGGTCGTTCTCCAGTATGAACTTTCTCATGGCTATGAAGGTCACAGTTCCTGATAAAAGATTTCCCACAATCAGTGCACTTATAAGGTCTTTCTCCGTTGTGAACTCTCTGGTGATAATGGAGTCCAGAGCTATGGATAAAAGCTTTCCCACATTCACTGCACTCATACAAACTTTGCCTAGTGTGTAATCTCTGATGATAACAAAAGAGAGATTTCCTCTTAAAAGATTTTCCACATTCGTTACACCCATAAGGCCTTTCAGCAGAGTGAAGTCTCCGATGACGACGAAGACAGGCTATTCTGGTAAAACACTTTCCACATTCGCTACAGTCAAAAGGTTTTTCTCCAGTGTGAACCCTTTGGTGTTCAATGAGGCTGGAACACTGGGTAAAGGTTTTCCTACATTCGCCACACTCATAAGGCTTTTCTCCAGTGTGAGCCCTTTGGTGGTGAATGAGGCTGGAATTCTGGCTGAAGGATTTCCCACATTCACCACACTCATATGGCTTTTCCCCAGTGTGAACTCTCTGGTGTCTAGTCAGGCCAGCACTTTGGCTAAAGGACTTGCCACATTCGCCACACTCATAAGGCTTTTCTCCAGAATGAACTCGACAGTGTTGAATAAGGATCCAATGTTCTTTAAAACATTTTCCACACTCAAGGCACTCATATGGCTTTTCCAATGAGGGAACTTTCTGATGACAATTAAGTCCAGAGATTTCTTTAAAATATTTTTTATTTTCGGTGCCCACAAAACACTGCCTTCCAGTATGGACAGCTTGATCTAGACCAAGTGTGTTGTTGCCTCTCATGGCTTTTTTACAGGCTTTCTTGCTTTGGTAACTTTTTCTGTTTTGAAATGTCACCCCAGACATGGAGATTTCACTTGGTTTAGTCATGGTATGAGTAGCCTGGTGTTGGAGTTGTCCAGAGGCAGTAAGGATGCTGTCTCTGACCTTCTGACAGGTAAAAAGCTTCTGGGACACACTGAATGTGCAGCTCTTCACAAGTGAGGCCCTGTCCACACCTCTTATCAAACACTCTGCTCTCATGTGCTGCTTATGGTGCTGGTGAAACTGTGTACTAAAATAAAATGATTTTGCACATGCGCCACATCTCAGCAGTGTCGTACTATCTTGCGTTCCCTGCTGCTCAAGCACCTGGAAAATGTCCCTCAAGACTGCAGCACAACGCTCACAGGGATGGCTCGTCTGGGAAGACGAAGCTACGTTGGTCTTCTGTGCCTGTGACACTCTGACAGAAACGCTCTGTTCAGTGGATGCCTCCAGATCCTGACTGCCACAGCAGCAACCTGAACAAAAGGAAAGCCTGGTGAATTACATGTTGGTCCTATAGCAGAAGGTAGTCTTGCCGGGCTGCAGTGGTTCGACCTATGGACCAGGAGGCCAGGATTTGACTCCCAGTCAAGGCACATGCCTGGATTTCGGGCTTAATCCCCTGTCAGGGGCTTGTAGGAGGCAGCCAAACAATGATTCTCTCTCGTCCTGGATGTTTCTCTCTCTCACTCTCTCCCTCTTCCTTCTACTTTGAAATAAATGAAAATATATTTTAAAAAGAAAAAAATTGAAATATCACTCTCTCATCATGGATGTTTCTCTCTCTCACTCTTCCTTCCACTCTGAAATAAATGAAAATATATTTTAAAAAGAAAAAAAATGGAAATCTCCTCATAAATGTCCATCTATCACACCAAGGCATGATTCTACTGAATCATGTTCAAGACACGTCTTAGAATCTGAGAAAATGGCTTTTATACATTAAATGGTCCCTAAATGGGGGGAGGGGGGGAATCCACAAAGAGAGTAACATGGTCTAGAATGATACACAACGAGGAAGGATCTACTAGCTGTTCCTCTGCACATGGCTTCCTACAGGACATTTCTTGCTAGTTCCATGAGACTTTGTACAAGAATGTGAATGTGGCCCAGCCAGAATGCCTCAGTGGTTTTGTGTTGAGCTATGAACCAGGAAGTAAAGGTTTGATTCCTGGTTCGGGGACATGCTGGGGTTGAGCTATCGATGCTCAATGAGAAAATGGCTTTTATACATTAAATGGTCCCTAAATAGGGGGAGGGGAGGAACCCACAAAGAGAGTAACATGGTCTAGAACAGCCGTGGGCAAACTACTTATTAAAGCTAGGGACACAGAAACAAAGAAAGAACTTAGGGTAGAAGAAGCAACAGGAGAGAACAGGAGAGCGCTCTGGCCCCTTGGAAAGGTTATGGGAAAGCAGGGTGCCAAGGTGGGCCTGCAGTTAGCTCATTGGGATGTCAGAGACAAGGGGGAAATGGAGACAGGAGCTCAGCCAGTGAGGCTCAATAGTTGACCATCAACCTACAAACCAGGAGGTTGTGGTTTGATTCTTCATCAGGGCAAATATCTGGGTTGCACGATTGATCCGTAATGTGGGGCATGCAGGAGGCAGCTGATCAAGACATTTCTTGCTAGTTCCATGAGACTTTGTACAAGAATGTGAATGTGGCCCAGCCAGAATGCCTCAGTGGTTTTGTGTTGAGCTATGAACCAGGAAGTAAAGGTTTGATTCCTGGTTCGGGGACATGCTGGGGTTGAGCTATCGATGCTCAATGTGGGGCCTGTAGGAGGCAGCCAATCAATGATTCTCTGTCATCATTGATGCTTCCATCTCTCTCTCCCTTCTCTTTTCCTCTGTGAAATCAATAAAAATATAGTTTTAATAAGATGCCTAAAATTGCCAAAACATTAGTTAGACTAAAACAAGAGAAACAAGATTCAAGTAAACAAAAACAGAAATGAAAGACATAACACCCGACACTTTGAACCACAAAGCATCATGAGTTGTTGGGAGATGACATGACACTGCACACAGAAAATTGTCAAGATTCCACGGGGCATGCAGGAGGCAGCTGATCAATGATTGTCTCTCTTCATTGATGTTTTTATCTCTCTCCCCCTCTCCCTTCCACTTTGAAATCAATTAAAAGTATATTTTAAAAAATTAAGAAAAAATATTAGAACTGACATATATATAAAATAGAAACAAGGCAAAAAAAATTAATATCATAACTAAGAACTGATGTTTTCGGGGTTTTTTATTTTATTGTTTGTTAATCCTTTCCTGAGGATATTTTTTCCATTGTTTCAGAGAGAGCGCAAGGGAGGGAGGGAGGCGGAGATAGGAAATAGAAACACAGATGTGAGACACATTGACTGGTGGACTCCTACAGGGGATGGGAAATGAGCCCACAACCCAAGTACATGCTCTTGACCAAGAATTGAAGTCAAGACCTTTGGATCCCTGGGCCGATGTTCTAACGATTGAGAAACACCAGGTAGGGAGAGCTGTTTTTTAATAAGACGCCCAAAATTGCCAAAACATTAGTCAGACTAAAACAAGAGAAACAAGATTAAAGTAAACAAAAACAGAAATGAAAGACTTAACACCCGACACTTTGAACCACTAAGCATCATTGAGTTATTGGGAGATGACATGGCACTGCCTACAGAAAATTGTCAAGATTCCATTATAAACTTCTGAAGTTAATAAGCAAATTCAGAACAGATACAGGACACAAAAATAAGCATACAAACATCACTTCCATTTTTATACACTAACAACAAAATTTTTTAAAATATATTTTTATTGATTTCAGAGAGGAAGGAAGAGGGAGAGAGAAATAGAAACCTCCATGATGAGAGAGAATCATGGATCGGCTGCCTTCTGAAAGTCCCCCAGTGGAGATCGAGCCCACAACCCGGGCATGTGCCCTTGACCGGAACCAAACCCGGGCCCTTTCAGTTCGCAGCCCGATGCTCTATCCACTGATAGGGCACAACACAATTTCTGATAATGAAATGAAGAAGGCAGACCAATTTACAACAGCATCAAAAACAATAAAACACTCAGAAATAAATTCAAACAAAAAGTTGAAAGGTCTGTACACTGAACACTATAAGACAGTGATGAAAGAAATGGAAGAAAACACAAATAAATGGAAACAAATCCTGTATTCTTGGCTTTGAAGACTTAATATTGAAATGTCTAGCCTACATAAAACAATCTACAGATTAAATGCAATCTCAATCACAATTCCAATGGTCTTTTACACAGAAGATTAAAAATGAATCATGGGCCGAAACCGGTTTGGCTCAATGGATAGAGCGTCGGCCTGCGGACTGAAGGGTCCCGGGTTCGATTCCGGTCAAGGGCACATGCCTGGGTTACAGTGAGGGGCGTGCAGTAGGCAGCAATCAATGATTCTCTCTCATCATTGATGTTTCTATCTCTCTTTTTCCCTCTTTCTTCCTCTCTGAAATCAATAAAAAAAATATTTTTAAAAAAATGCTTTTCCTCACTAATCAAGGTGAAATCCGTTAGGATCCTTGCAAGTCTACGAACCTCAAATCCTTCCCTTCGAGGGTTGACTACAGTAGGGATTTGGGCTGCAGTCAGAGAAAAGGGGATTGCCAATAACCAAGCCCAACCAGACACAGCCACTGCCCGGGAAACTGGGGAAGCGAGTGGGGCCCATAGCACACACGTGAGAAGGAAACACGCTTTCACGAAAGGTGGTAGGAGGAAAGGTGAAGACGAGTCCAGGTACCTAGGGAGAGGGAGGGTCTTTTTTTGTTGTTGAAGTGAAAGTTTGTTAAACTTTAGAACAAGGAGGAAAAAAGAAGGAACCTTAAAAACAGATCAGGAGCCCTAACCGGTTTGGCCTGTGGACTGACAGGTCCCGGGTTCGATTCCGGTGAAGGGCATGTACCTTGGTTGTGGGCACATCCTCAGTAGGGAGTGTGCAGGAGGCAGCTGATCGATGTTTCTCTCTCATCGATGTTTCTCTTCTTTTTTAAAAAAAATATATTTTATTGATTTTTTACAGAGAGGAAGGGAGAGGGATAGAGAGTTAGAAACATCCAT